TTTGATTGGAAAAGAAATAACTAACGAAACAAGAAATTAAACTAAAACAAGCAGGATGATGTGAATGCAAAAGATGATGAAATCGAAAATAAATGAATAATCTAGCAAATATGAGAATGGAATCGGTTCCAGGTCGGTCTACACCCTCGAATAACTAGTCCAATTAATGCATTTACCAAGTCTCACTCGTCTTCTAAAACTACCGGTCCTAGATAGCAATAAGCTCTGCTACCCGAATTCTCCCTTAATTATACTTAATCGAAAGAGGCTCTTCAATTAATTCTAACCAGAGAACAACTCAGAATAAGCTCTCCTAATTTAATCCACTAGTTGCATTAGAATCTAGGAAAATAGACCGATCTAAGCCACAAACACACAAGCTCAGTTCATGTAACTTATGTTGTGTTATCCCTAACAATGCACGACTGTTAGTTGCTACAAGCGAAATAAGAACTACGACAATTACACGGATCGAAGTCTTAAATCTAGCAATTAACATGCAATCCTCAACTTAGGTGATCAAGCTAAATTGAAGAACACATATTATGACATGAAACTAGAATAACACAATCAATTTTATACGACGAGTAAAACAAAATAAAATTGCATTAATCAAACATAGTCACCGAGGGTTCAACGTCCCTAGAACCGAAATAAAAGTTTAGCTCATAGCTAAATGATCAAAACAAAATTAATAGTTCATTATGTTATTCAAACAAAATAAACTAAAGAAAACAAATAAATCAAACTCCTTTCAATGCTAAGTCCACGGCCAGATTTCTTCAGTAGATAGAAAAATTCTTCCCCTCAGCTCTCTGTTCACCCCTCAACATGTACCCCTTTATTTTCCTAATCCTCCCGTAATCTCCACGCACACCACCAAAATTGAGAGTTTAACTCCCATTAAAATTCCTCACGCCAAGTCAACTCATATATTATTAGAATCCACCAAAATTGAGGGTCTTTAATTAATTCCCCACATTAAGAGTCCAGTAGAGAAAAAAAAAAGTTCTATCCCCCAGCCACTCTTGAATAAGTCCACATCTTCTTTCTTGACCACATGAAAATTAAATCCATGTCATTTCCTTCATAGTGCCACCTCATAAATGACACATCACAAATAGGTGTAATAACTGCAAAATAGACACAAAATCAAATATTGGTGTATGTTCGTTCACAAAATAAAATACGTGAGAAAACTTGAATATAACACTAAACTCAAATACTCAATACGCTAATTAGACCGCAAAATAATACAAGATTTTCCACGTATCAAATCTCTCCAAACTTAAACCGTTGCTTGTCCCCAAGCAACAAAGAACTAAAGACAATAGAACGGATAAAACAAATAAGTACGTGGAATTTTCGCTCAGGTCCTCACACATCTCACATCATGCATAGCTATAACTTCTCAAATTAATAATCCCGGACTCGAAATGAAATCATCTTTAGAACGCCAACAATCAAATATCAATTCAGTGAATTACCGCAGCTCATCAATCTCTTCACCGAGTACACCAATCATGCAACTAATGATACCCCTTTCTTTGCCAACCGGTTTGGTTCCCATTCGCTTCCAGCCAGAAATCAAACGTCTCGATTTTTTTCTTTCTTTTTTCAATTTTTTTTTTTTTTTTTTGGGAACAGCAGCTCCGTCACAGTCCATGATTTTTAGCTATTTTTGCTAGAGTGATGCACTAAAGCTCACCGACTGGCAGCTGTTGTAGCCCACGATCTTTTTTTTTTATTTATTTTCTCCAACACCCTTTATTGTTCTCCTCCCCCTTCATTATTCACCACTTTTTTTTTCGAGACATTCAACTCCCAACTTTTCACGTCAAGTCACCTCACATAATCGACATCAAGCAGAATAGTCACCAGCACATTTCAAGAATATAAACAGTTCAAGATGACTCACTACGAATAAAACACATAAACGTCAACTATCATGCCTTTGTCCCTCAAATGACAACACCTCAAGGTTTTAACCAGAAATAATCAATCCAAGTCATCATAACTAGCAAATAATCCCAGTAGACTCTCAATTCATCATTGCGAAATTCCACATACGACACACCAAAAACTCAATTAATATTATTTTTTTCTTTTTTTTTTCAACCAAAAGCAGCTCGACAACTAAAAACAACTAGATATGACCCTAACCAAATCAACAAGAAAACCAAGCAAACATATATGCATAGAAAAATGACACAACTACACCCATCAACAAAATCTCCCCAAACTTAATCTCTACTATATAACACAATAAGGGAATCGAAATTACCAGATCATCAACGGATGGTCCTCTTTGCTCGTTGCTGTTGTGAGTCCTCTACCACTCCTCGACTAGTCTTTGCACGTCGGGTGCTCGACCGGATCTTCGAGTAGGCTGTTATCGGGGGAGGCGGTAGCAGTAGAAAATCCACTCAAACAGTTATCGGGGGAGGCAGTAGCAGTACAGTTCTGCTCTGTTTCACCATGTTCTTCATTCTCTTCATCGTTTAGCACAAAATTACATTCTTCCAGCACCTCAAGATCTGTGTTGCTACTATCCTGAAACAAATATTCAACCGTAGAGATAAACTTGAACTATTCAAAATACTAATACTAATAGAAAAAAAAAACAAATATTGGGTTGCCTCCCAACTAGCGACTTTTTTTATTGTCGTTGGCTCGACTTATTACTTCCCTTTTCTTCAAGCTGTCCATGGCGGATTCAGAGGTGGCCTCAAAGGAGGCACAAACCTTGCATCACCATGCTTCTTCATGATCCTCTTATCATGTGTTGGCAAAGATTTTAGTTCGAGCTTTGGAGCCTGCACAATAGATGACGAAAATTTTCTATAAGATTCTGATAATTTAAAATTAGCATCATACCTAGGAGGAACAGGTCCTCTCTCATGCAAATCCATGACGTTCTCCTTCAATTTTTTGGCTCGATTGCGAAAATCGCCCCCGTCAACTTCTGCTATCAGGGGGGCGATAACAGTTTGTCGCACCCTATGCTCGAGGAGATCACCACCTCTAACTTATCGTTTCGACCATAAGTCTCCATATATTCTTGTGCTAAAGGGTCAATAACATCAAGCATATAAACAGAGTCATCACAATCATCAGGATATTTCATAGTATCAAAGATATTGAACTTGATGACATGTCCATCAAACTCCATCGTAAGAGTACCCTGTCGAACATCAATCATCGTTTGGGCTGTGTTTACAAATGGTCTTCCCAATAAAATTGGGGTGGAGTTTGAGGACTTATCATTCATGTTCAACACATAAAAATCAACCGGGAACACAAGATCATTAATTTTCACAAGAACATCCTCAACAACACCGTCGGGATAAGTGGTACTACGATCGGCGAGTTGGATAACAACCCCGGTTTTGTTCAAAGGACCCAAATTAAGAGAATTAAAAATAGAAAGAGGCATAACATTTATTGAAGTACCCAAATCTAACATAGCCCGTTCTAATTTTAAATTCCCGATTACGCAAGGGATGAAAAACATACCTGGATCACTCCTCTTCTGTGGCAAGCTTTTATGGAACACGACTGATACATTCTCGCCCATTATCACCTTCTCGTCCCCTTTCAATCGCCTCTTATGCGTGGACAAGTCCTTCAGAAACTTCGCATATTTTGGAACTTGCTTTATGGCGTCGATAAGGGAATATTGACCTCGACCTTTATGAAAATTTCCAAGATCTTCGTCCCGGCATCATCTTTCTGTTGTTTCTTGATTCTCGACAGAAACGACAAAGGTTCAGTCCACCTCGGCTCGGTTTCGATGGCTTTTTTCTTCATTTTGGCTCCAACAGTTCTGTTATCAGGGGGGCGATAACAGCATAATCTTTAGTATTCTCGCCATCTTTTTTCTCATCCGCATCTTCTTTCGATGGAATAGGACCCTCGGCGGCCTAGAGCTCCTTCCCACTTCTCAATGTGATGGCGCTGACATTCTTCGGATTAATCTCAGCTTGGGACGGTAGTTTGGAATTCACTTGTGACTCCAATCGATTCACATGATTCGACAATGAGGACACTTGCCCCTCCATGTTCGTAAGGTTGGACGCCATGCTCTCTATCAGCTTCTTCATCTCTGAAGATGATTCGTCCGGTGGAGGGTGAGTGTTGTGCTCTCCGGTGCCTTGGTACCTTTGGTAGCCTTGTCCCCTTTGAAAGTTTTAAGGTTGCCGTCGGTCATGCTCCCCAAACTGGTTGCCGTTATTGTTTCCCCACCTCAAATGCGGGTGATCACGCCACCCCAGATTATAGGTATTTGAGAATGGGTCATAGTTGCGTTCGGCACCATTATTCGCCCCAACTGCATTAGCATGGGCCTCCGTCGTGTTCACTGTACATGGACAGTCTTCGGTAGTGTGATCCACTGTCTCGCATAGGCTACATGGTCGGACCCTCGATGCTTGACCCACAGCCAACTGGCGAACCACGGAAGTTAACTCTTTGATTTGTGCCTGTAACGAGTCAATTCCTTCTTCTTGAGCCGGCCTCTGCAAGATCCCACGAGTACCAAACTGTTGAGAATTAGCTGCCATGTTGGCAATTAACTCTCTTGCCGCCGTAGGAGTTTTGTCCATGAGTGCACCGCCGCTAGCGGCATCTAGCATATTCCCATCCGTGATTGAAAGGCCCTCGTAGAAGTATTGGATCAATAGCTGGTCGGCCATCTGATGCTGCGGACAACTCGCGACTAGCCTCTTAAACCTTTCCCAGTACTCGTACAAAGTCTCCCCTTGCATCTGTCGCACCCCACAAATTTCTTTACGTAGAGCGGCTACTCGGATCGCAGGAAAGTACCTCTGGAGAAAGGTCTTCTCCAATCGTGTCCATGTAGTGATCGATCCCAAAGGTAAGTAATAGAGCCAATCCTTTGCACCATCCTTAAGAGAAAATGGAAAAGCACGTAGCTTCACTTGCTCCTCAGTCACCTCGGTGGGTTTCATGCTGGAGCACACCGTGTGAAACTCCTTCAGATGTTTGTGTGGGTCCTCACCGGCGAGACCATGGAATGATGTCAGCAAATGTATCAGCCCGGACTTCAACTCGAACGTGGTATTATTCATCTCTGGGAAAGTTATGCAAAGAGGTTGGTTTGGAAGTACGACATCAGCAAGTTGCCTCAAGGTACGCTCCTCGTTCGCCATTAGTGCATTCTCGATGATTATATGGGTGTCTTTTTGGCTTTTATCACTCCCACTTTCTTCCTCTACGTCCTCGCTTTCGATTTCGAACTGGATACCCTTGCTGAAAATCGCCTCCTTCTCTTGTTGAGCCTTCTTCCTTAGCTCGGTGTCCCCTCTCGTAATCTCCGGATAATATTCAAAGTCTTCAGCCCCTGATGACCTTGTTTCCATTTACCTGGAAAATAAAAAAAAAAATCAGCTCAAACGTGACAAAATTCGAGTATACTTTAACGTAAAGAGCGAACGTATTTTCTGTTATCGCCGGGGGTAATAACAGAGAAACAACGATTTTTTTTTTCTCGAAAAATGCAACTGAAAAACGAAAATTCACATAAATAAATATATACTAACTAACATAAATAAAAACACTATTTATTTCGCGCCACTCCCCGGCAACAGCGCCAAAATTTGACCGCGCGTCGCAACGCGGCAAATTTACATTTATAAAATTTTCCTCGACTTATCCCTACTAACTAGTAGTAGTGGCGAGAAAGGGTCGATCCCACAGGAAGTGTGGTATAAAATATGATTTTACTATATTAATTAGATTAATGTAAAGAGGGGGGGTTTTGATTGGAAAAGAAATAACTAACGAAACAAGAAATTAAACTAAAACAAGCAAGGATGATTTGAATGCAAAAGATGATGAAATTGAAAATAAATGAATAATCTAGCAAATATGAGAATGGAATCGGTTCCAGGTCGGTCTACACCCTCGAATAACTAGTCCAATTAATGCATTTATCAAGTCTCACTCGTCTTCTAAACTACCGGTCCTAGATAGCAATAAGCTCTGCTACCCGAATTCTCCGTTAATTATACTTAATCGAAACAGGCTCTTCAATTAATTCTAACTAGCGAACAACTCGGAATAAACTCTCCTAATTTAATTCACTAGTTGCATTAGAATCTAGGAAAATAGACCGATCTAAGCCACAAACACACAAGCTCGGTTCATGTAACTTATGTTGTGTTATCCCTAACAATGCACGACTGTTAGTTGCTATAAGCGAAATAAGAACTACGACAATTACACGGATCGAAGTCTTAAATCTAGCAATTAACATGCAATCCTCAACTTAGGTGATCAAGCTAAATTAAAGAACACATATTATGACATGAAACTAGAATAACACAATCAATTTTATACGACGAGTAAAACAAAATAAAATTGCATTAATCAAACATAGTCACCGAGGGTTCAACGTCCCTAGAATCGAAATAAATGTTTAGCTCATAGCTAAATGATCAAACAAAAATAATAGTTCATTATATTCTTCAAACAAAATAAACTAAAGAAAACAAATAAATCAAACTCCTTTCAATGCTAAGTCCACGGCCAGATTTCTTCAGTAGATAGAAAAATTCTTCCCCGCAGCTCTCTGTTCACCCCTCAACATGTACCCCTTTATTTTCCTAATCCTCCCGTAATCTCCATGCACACCACCAAAATTGAGAGTTTAACTCCAATTAAAATTCCTCATGCCAAGTCAACTCATATATTATTAGAATCCACCAAAATTGAGGGTCTTTAATTAATTCCCCACATTAAGAGTCCAGTAGAGAAAAAAAAGTTCTATCCCCCAGCCACTCTCGAATAAGTCCACATCTTCTTTCTTGACCACATGAAAATTAAATCCATGTCATTTCCTTCATAGTGCCACCTCATAAATGCCACATCACAAATAGGTGTAATAACTGCAAAATAGACACAAAATCAAATATTGGTATATGCCCGTTCACAAAATAAAATACGTGAGAAAACTTGAATATAACACTAAACTCAAATACTCAATACGCTAATTAGACCACAAAATAATACAAGATTTTCCACGTATCAGCCAGGCAGAAGTAAGGGAACAACTTCCCGTTCCCACAAACCACATAATGTTTTCAGATGAGGATTTGTACCTTACGTTAACCCGCATTCGAATGCACTAGTGATTACAGCCCCGATCCAACATATCTCCATTCACCGAATCATGGTGGACACCAGCGCCTATTCGAGCATTCTATATTAGACCGCTTTCCTTAAGATTGGGATTTATAGGAGTGAGCTTCGCCCGTGTAACGACCGGATCACGGGGTTCAACGGACAGACGACCTTACCAGAGGGAGAGATCAAATCGAACTTGGAGGAGTGGGGCAGAACGGGCAAAGAATCATGGATATGTTCAAAGTTCTAAAAATGAACCACGAAAACAACGCCATTTTAGAGCGAACAGCGTTGTACAAATTGAAGGCTACCGTTTCGATCTTTCATTATTCAATCAAATTCTCGACTGAGGACGGGATTGGTGTCCACTACGACAATCAAAGAGAAGCCCGAGAATGCATTATGAAGATTCCATCGCTTGAGATCCACTCGGTCATGATGGCAAGCGGAGTAAAAAATCAACTGTAGGAGCCAAATGAAGAACTGATCGAGCAGGTTATTCAGACGCAAGCCGAACACACTGCAGACGACCTGATAACTGAAGAGAAGCCAACCGAAGGAGGCAATTAGATTGATCAATAGGCCCTGGTTGACCTGATGGAGGAAAACCAATATAGCCCGATTAGGAGAAAAAGGCGCAGAGACGACTCGTGTGAAGGACTGGAGAATGGAAATGAGTGTTTGTCACCCACGCCCCTAATCATAGATGACGAACCTCAACCCGATGAAGAACAAGTTCAGACGACCACTCAAGAAGAGAAAATGAGACGGAGGAAGAAGACCGAACGACCGACAGGCCGTCGGCCCGGGAAGGAACCGATTGAGAAGAATGATGAGTTAGATCCAAGAGACTCGTTCAAAAGAAAGAAGGCCAACCGAGTCGAACCCAGCGAGGACACGAAAGTCTTTTATCTGGATGAACCACTCAGCACCAAGTCACTGCGCATAAGAAGAAATCTAGGCGAACCCGGCCAATACGAACTAAACGCTTTTTTAACTAAGAATGTAGATGCTTTTTGCTTGGTCATATGAGGACATGACGGGGATTGATTCAAGCCTGGCATTCCATAGTCTTTGGATCGATAGGGCGATCAAACCGATGGTGCAGAAGAGAAGAAAATTGGGGCCTGATCGACAAGGTGCACTCGAAGCCGAAATGATCAAGCTGATAGATAAACGCTTCGTCCGGTAGGCGAACTATCGGTGTGGGTTTCCAACCCGGTCCTGGTAAAGAAAAACAACGGAACGTGGCGGTTATGCATAGATCTCAGTGACCTCAATTGAGTCTGCCCCAAAGACAGCTATCCGTTGCCTAGCATCACTACATGGTGGACGCGACGTTCGAGCACGAACTCATGAGCTTCATGGACGCCTATTCAGAATATCACCAGATCTCGATGGACCAGGACGATGAGGAGCACACATATTTCTATTCGGCCAGAGGACTTTACTGCTACACCATGATGTCGTTTGGTCTAAAAAAATGCAGGCGCCACGGCCGTGGAGGTCATGATCATAAATTTTTTAAACCCATTTTTGCTCGAGCTTTTGAGTATTGGGATGGGGACTCGTTCCCAGACCAAAGGGGGGGGGGGGACTCCAGACTCATTTTTTTCCAATTTTTCATTTTAGAAACACATTTTTCTCTAGTTTTTCATCTTTGAATTCAATCTTGGAGGGTGACACTCCAAGAATCGATCTGTAAATAGTTTTTTATGATAATTTCTCTGCTTTTCTTTTTATCCCATGCTTGAATTGTTGGAAACAAAGACACTGGGATCAAAATCTCGCAAGTCCTAATCCTATTGTAAGTTTTCAATTCTATTATATTATTGTTGATTGGGTTTATGTTCTTCAATCTGATTATCAAAAAATTGAATCCAAGAATGAGGTAATCCATTCACCTAGGGTTGGGGATTTTTTTTTCTTGTTTTGAATTGTGTTGAATGTGTTTTGTTCAATCTATGTGAGTTGCTTGAATTTTAGAAATCGTTGATTGTTCATCTGCTAGTAAAACAACCTTTAGAACTGAAAGGGGTTGGATGTTGAGCCTAGGCTCGTATGAGGTGAATGCTTTCTTCTAATCCATTTAAAAAACTTTTAGAACTGAAATGGGAGGAGTTGTGGAACCTAGGCTCGTATAGAGTAGACTTGTTCGTAAAAGTATTGTCTATGAGTTGCTTGATTGAATGAGTCTGTCGCTTATGTTTTTGCTCTTGTTACGAAATGTTATTGAGCATAAACCTCTAGATGTGTAGGCTTATTGAGGGCATTGACTATAATCAGACTTTTGCTCCAGTCGCAAAGGTGGTTACCGTTCATACCTTTTTGGCTATTGTAGTTGCTAAAGGCTGGGAACTTCATCAGATGGATGTTCATAATACATTCTTACATGGTGACCTCACGGAGGAGGTGTATATGAATCTCCTGCCTGGCACTTCTCCATCCCAGCCTGGTCAGGTGTGTCACCTTCGTTGTTCTCTTTATGGCTTACGGCAGGCCCTTCGCTGTTGGTTTGCCAAACTACTTGGGGCCCTTCGTCAGCATGGGTTTCAGCAATCCGCTTCCGATGATTCTCTATTCCCTTTGACTCGTGGTACTATGCAGATTAATGTTTTTATTTATGTGGATGATCTTATATTATCTGGAAATGATTCCGAAGCTCTTCATTTCTTCAAGGAGCATTTGCATCATTGCTTGTACTTCCTTGGAATTGAGGCGGCTCGAAATCCGTCTGGAATATTTCTTTCACAATTAAAATATGTTCTCGACATTATTTCGGAGGCGGGGTTGTTTGGAGCTAAGCCAGCCGATTTTCCTATTGAGCAGAATCACCACCTTTTTTCCGCTGCTGATATTCCTTTCCCTGATCCCCTGCGATATCGGCGTCTTGTTGGTCGTCTTATTTATTTTGTCGTTACCCATCCTGAGTTGTCTTATTCTGTTCACATTGTCTCTCAATTCTTGCAGAAGCCCATGCAGGCTCATTGGGACGCAGCTCTTCGAGTCGTTCGTTATTTAAAGGGCTCTCCTGATCATGGAAACTTTCTTCAGGCATAATGTGATCTGCAGATTTATGCATAGTGCGACTCTGATTGGGCTACTTGTCCTTTGTCATGGAGATCTCTTACGGGATGATTTATTCAACTTGGTTCCTCACCTGTTTCTTGGAAGACTAAAAAACAACATATTGTTGCTCGTTCCTCTGCTGAAGCTGAATATCGTTCCATGGCCTCGACTATATATGAGGTGAAGTGATTGTAAGCTCTCCTTCTATGTTTTGGTGTGGAGCATTCTCAGCCTATTCGGCTGTTCTGTGATAGTCAAGTCGCTTTGCATATTGCGGCCAATCCCGTTTATCATGAGCGAACGAAACACATCGAGGTTGATAGTCATTTTATCCGGAACGAAATACTAACCGATACTATCCTTCCTAGCTATGTTTCTACACATGTACAACTTGTCGATATCTTTACTAAGGCTTTAGGTAAACAACAATTTGAGTTTTATTAGGCAAATTGGGCACCCATGCTCCAACTTGAGGGGGGTGTTATGGTATGCAAATATATATGTGTAAATATATATGTGTATTTATGGTAGGTTTATGAGGTTGTACTTTATATATATATCTTTGTACGAATCCTAATTAGATATGACAGTATTACGGCTTTGATTCACGCCGGCCGCTTTCAATCCTACACTCTTCCTCTTCTTCTCAATAGATATAACAAGAATACAAACACCAAAGAAGAAATTAGAGGACGAGGACATCCACTAATCCTTAATTTTGATTAGACAAATTAAATAGACGAGGACATCCGTTCAATTTGATTTTTGTATTAAACAAGATTATACAAAGTCGAGTTTTGAAATTAAACGCACAATGAATATGATTTTTTTTATTAAAACAAACGGGGCATTACTACCTGCACTGGTGAGATAATAAAAGAGCCGACAAGGCTGTTTTATAGTTGTCTGGAGCCGAGAATGTCACATGAGGATAAGGACTTTTGAGTTTGAATATAAAAAGGATTGAGAGTCCTTGTCAAATTGCTATATTTTTGGAATTAGTGTTTGATGAAGAGCAAAAGACATAGATGATGTCGTAATGTCGTATTGTTGTGTGCATTCTATGAACTTTAGGAAGAAAGAATTTGAGTTTAACCAAGAAATGGGGATAAAAAAGTCTAATTGAAATTATAGCTTTAGAAGTCTTGGTGCTAAGGGCTTGATTGTATATGAAATAATTTACTCACTTTTATTTCAACTCAAAATATAACTCAACTTTAACTCAATTTCACTATCTTTAATATTATTCATATAATTAAATAATACAAATCAATCATTCTTACACATCACATCAACTTTAATTCACTGTTCATCTACTCACATAATTTTAACTACATATCATTTCCAATCATTTATCTATTACATTTACATCAAATCAATTTTAATCATTTTATTTGTTTGAAGCTTCGGCGGCAGCTGTTCCGAGTTTCGCCCTTAAAAAACATGCTGCACAAAGAAACTCCTCTTGCGTGATTACATGCCTTATATGGGCTACAATATGATTTTTGAATGTGAAATAGGACTTTAGTTGTTGATTAGTGGGCCAAAGTTTATAAGGCCCATATGTTAGTAACTAAATTGAATATTCTCTCATTGATTTGGTTTTTGTGCAAAGTGAGGAATGCTGGTGTGCTTCTTCTGCGGGCCTGATCAAATGAAAATCACAATAAATGGTGACAAAACATTGGCTAAAAGAATTAGAAAAAATTACGCATTCTACTATAATATTCTTTTTTATTTGCAAAAAAATATTCGTTATATAATTATTTGCAACATTACTAAAGTTGTTATATTTATTTACAAATATGCTAAGATGTTATCTTTATGGTAGGTAGCTAATGCGGATTTTATGGAGTATAAGAGCATCTCCAATGCTCTAATGTTGTTATTGAAATTTTTTTGACAAATGTCAAAAAATTAAATAGATTGTGAACCATGTAGGACAAATGTTGAGTTCACAATTATTAAATTAAAAAATCATCTCCAATGCACAATTTTGCCTAATTACAATATTATTTACTTGGCAAATAATAAATTTTAATATGAATTAATAAAATTAATTAAATAATTAAATAGTTTGAAAATGGTAATAATAATTCTCTCTCTTCTCCTCATTGGCTAACTAGAGTGTGGAGTAGAATGTGGATGAGCCACATTCTTCTCTGCATTGTAGACATTAATTATGTCAACATCATTACAACATTAGTGATCACATTGTACATTGGAAGATGAAATATTGTGATATTAATAAATGTGTTGATGTGGAATGTAATTTATCACTACAACATTGAGCATTGGAGATGCTCCATAACTGACTATCTATGTTTATGGTCATAACATTCTCACTCACAACTCATCAACCGCCCACCAGTTCTCAACTTTCAAAAAAAAAAATTCCAGCGGCGCGGACAACAGAAAAAAAAAAAAACTAAAATTTCAGAAAAAGGCGAGCCATGGTATTTCGATCTGGAAGATGAAATTGAAAGCGAAGGAGATGAAATTGAAGAATTTTCCAGTGATGAAAACAACGAAGAGCATCTGAAGGATTTGAAGAGACAACCATTGACACCGGCAACAGTGCATCCATTCCCTCTTCCTTCTCACTGGGGAGATCAAGTTGGAGATGACGAAGGCGAGACCGAAGTTCATGCTCTTTATGTTGTCTACAGTATATATATGTTGGGTTTACATGTAGTATATATTTAGTATATGTTTCCATACGGCAGTTTGCTTGTGAGAAAGAAAAAAGGTGCAAACATTGATATCGAAACTTTAGAATGGGCAGTATATTAAAAGATTTTTATACATCTGATATGATTTGTTTCAATGTTTATTTGATGTTTATTCATAATTTATTGATCATGATGTTTTTCAACGTTCATCCATATAATCTGAATATTTCACTGTTGATACATTGATTATAAAAATTATATGCGTACATATTAAGTATATAACAAGATTATGTTATGTATATGTGCATGAATGATATACTTACAACATACCCGATTGCAACTTTGTAGGTGTTTTCAAGATTGTATATGTGATGTTTATATATTGTATAATAACACAAAAGGTAAACAAAAAACAGAGCTTCGAAAAAAAAAAAACAGATTTCTTTTGTTTATTTTACGGTCTTTGATCATCAAGATAAAAT